CAATTTGATTGTGCAGAGGTGATAGACTTTTACGACCAAGTGGGAACCATTGCAAGGTTCGCATCAGTGGCTTACCCTCAAGCAAATGGCCAAGCGGAATCCGCCAACAAAGCAATCCTGCACGGTTTGCACACCCGCCTGAATGAAGCCAAAGGTAGTTGGGCTGATGAGCTCAACACAGTCTTATGGGCACATCGAACCACGTACAAAGTGGCAACCGGCGAAACCCCATTCGCGCTCACGTATGGCACTGACGCGGTGATCCCCATTGAGACAACATCCCCAACCTACCGAATCACGACGTACAGCGAAGAAACCAATGACGAGGCGCGCCTGTTAGACTTGGAACTGGCGCAGGAAAGACGCGAGCTAGCAGCCATCAAACTAGCCGCAATGAAGGAGCAGGTGGCCAAATACCACAACGCGAAGTTAGTCCCGCATAAGCTGATTCTCGGTGACCAAGTGCTGCGGAGAAACTTCCGTCCAGATCCCAAACATGGAAAACTCGCCTCAGTATGGGAGGGCCCATACCTAATCCGCGAAGTAGTCGGCGCCAACACTTTCAAGCTCAGCGAGCTGTGCGGAAACAAAATCCCAAGGACATGGAATGTGCAGAATCTCAGGAAATACCACCGGTCTACTTGATGTATATCTTGGTTTCAATGTTGCGTTGACGCACGCAGAGTAATGAAATATTCAGTTTGGCAGAACAAAACAATAGCAATGGGCATGAACCATTCGCGCACACTCGGTTCGAAAGAACAAAACAATAGCAATGGGCATGAACCATTCGCGCACACTCGGTTTGAAAGAAAAAAACAGTAGCAATGGGCACGAACCATTCGCACCCAAAAAATTCGAAAGAACAAAACAATAGCAATGGGCATGAACCATTCGCGCACGCTCGGTTCGAAAGAACAAAACAATAGCAATGGGCATGAACCATTCGCGCACACTCGTTGTACTCAAGAATCCTAGATAAGTCTCTGACATGTCCTAGGTAGAGACATGGCCTAAATCCCTGGCATGTCAGTAGTCACATCGTTGTACCACCATGTAACTCACCCACTCACCCACCACCATGTAGCCTATAAATATAGCATTTACTCCGGTGGGTGAGGGGGATCGGACTCTTGACATTCTATCTCTACAACATCGACTTCTCTCTCTAAACCACCAATTCTCTCAACTTCATCCTCTCCAATTCCTATTCCACGTGAGATCATTTATCATCCATTGTTTACTCTGCTTGACTCACTTTCTTCCTCGAACCTACCTCCTACACTCAGTTAGGTTCAAACACTAACCTTAGTAATTGTTCAAAGCAAGACATGTTTTATTATATACCATAAAAATTTCAAATACTTTAGTTTTTGGAAATATCATACTCATATAATTTTCAACATACTGGCCTGATTTATTGACTAAAGTCGTTACTCAAAGTAAAAAACAAAAGTCATGCAAGAAAATTGAATCCTAAAAATTTAAGAAGACGACTACACTATTTGTTACTCGATGAAAATTTTATTGCAAAACTGTGTACCCACTTATGGGGGATGAGATGTTGTAATCGGTGAGCTTCATCTGAAAAATTTAATTTCATGCTATCAATTTGTATGAGATGAGCACGTGAAGGTTTTCTCATTTTGTCACTATCCTTGAGTATTTCTCAATAGACATTCCAAAAAAATCTTGCTCCCTCGCGATATAAAGCAATAAAGTTAGATTAAACAATGTTGTCTACAACTTGCAGCTAATAATGAATCTATAAAATAACAACAATAGAGATACATTATTTGGTCAAAACTTTTGTTTTCGTGGGCACGTTGTTTTCTCTAGAATAAATGAACTTGAAGTTCAAAACAATAGAAGAGTAAATGTAGATTGCTACCAACTGCTATGTCTTTGGTATTCTTTTATAATTCTTATTAAATTACTCATCATAGTTTTCTTCAACTTTTATTTGGCAAGTTTCAATTAATATGGTTAGTCTAACCCAAGTTTTTTAGAATCAGATTTGAAACGAATGAGATATAGTCCATTGAACTTGTGAGAAATTGAAAACCCCTTAAATATAGCTTGAGATTTGTGCCAACTGTAACAAAAGGAGGTTATGCACCGAAGTTGTTTGAAGATCATACCAGATCGCTGTTTTATCAATTAGATGATTCTCTAATGTGAATAATTTTTTGAGGCATAGAATCCAATGGAGTCAAAATCGCGCTTTAAAACTTAAAAACTTACGATTTTACATTTGTAGGTCACTAAAACTTAAAAACTCCGCTTGAAAACTTAACATTTTACGATATTACGCTTCTAGATCACCAAAACGTTCTACGTAGAAACTCGCTTTTGACTACATTGATAGAATCAACAAATATAGTACTCAATAACAGTATGAATTAAATTCAAAAAAATAAAAATAAACTAAAGCAGGTATAGCAGACAAAATAATATGTTAGTGTACTCAAAGGAAGTTTTGATAAGAAGTATCATCACACTAATAAAATTATCCCACTAATATAGGGTAAATGACACATTTGGTCACTGAGATTACTAAATTGTGTCATGTATAGTCACTAGAAAAAATTAATATCAATTTTGGTCACTCGAATTACCGAAACTGGTCAAATTTAGTCACTCTCCCGTCAGTTTCCGTCCAACTCCATTAATGTAGTTCGACGGAAACTTTTGGGAGAGTGACTAAATGTGACATGTTTCAGTAATCCGAGTGACTAAATGTGACATTTTTCAATAATTCGAGTGACCGGAGTTGGACAGAGGCTACAGAAGAGTGACCAAATGTGACCTGTGTCAGTAATTCGAGTGACCAAAATTGATATTAAATTTTTCTAGTGACCAAATATGACACGATTTAGTAATCTTAGTGACCAAATATGTCATTTACCCCACTAATATATGATCAAACCAAGCAAAGTTAGGATAAAAGAAAGCAAATTAAGTTGCCAGTTTGCCGCTATGGTAAAATAAAATTATACTTTACAAACCTAGGTCTAAGGTGGTATGATCTCATAATTTGTTTTATCGTTGTCCGAAAAAAAAACCTAGAAAAAAATTATCTGGTTTCTGGTTTTAAACTTTGAACTTCTAGTTTATAGATGGAGATTGTGATCTACATTTCATCATTCTAAAAGAAAACCAATACCTAAAAGATGAATTGAGGAATAAACTAATAATTAATTAGAGAATCATTTATCATTATATTCATAAATCTCCTCACCCTTATCAATTCTCACTAACGCGTTGACATCTTTTATTTTGTATCAGATTTACAGAAAACCTCAAATCTAAAGTTATGATTGAAAATTATTTGGTTTGTTTAAGCAAAGTTATAAAAAAAAATTAGTTAATTAACAAAGTCACGCATATAAGAATTTGCCTAAAAAACTTAACCTTATAATAAAATAAACAAACTAAACCAATATACACTTACACAACCCTTTGCCATAATTTCAAAAAACATATTTCCTAACTATAAATAATAATATAATAAGATTTCATATCATCATGTCGTGATAGAATGATACAACCGGGGTTTTGCAAGCATGAGTGTTGTACCTTCCGCTCCCATATAATAATTGGTTATATCATCGTATCATCATGTCGTTATACGATGATATAATCAGATATTGCAGGATTTTGTACGCCAAAATTTTATACTCTATCCGCTTCCATATAATAATTAGTTTCAAAAAAATTTCTCACGAATCTCTTTTTCCACCCTCGGACACTTAAATAAACTTATAATAAAATAAAATAAAATAAAATAAACAAACTAAACCACAAATATACACATGTATAACCCTCGGCCAAAATTTCATAAAATATTTTCTAATTAAGACTAATAATTTAATACTTGGTTAAAAAAAAATTACGACTAAATCTCTTTCTCCATTAGTATAGTTAACAAAGGCGGTACGGTCAAAAAGATTTAACAAAGGCTGCCGTTCCTAATAGCAGTGTTATTAAAGCCGAGCCGCTCGGCCCGACCGGTAAAACCGCTACCCGGTCACAAAATCAGTTCGGAACAGTTTAAAAGTCGCTCCGATTTTATGTAGCAGTTGACGAGCGATCGAGGCGGTTAACCGTTCGAGCCGATCGAGCCGCTCGTCCGGTTTTTGCCATTCAGCGGTTAAATTTAATTAAAAAATTGCAGAAAATTGAAAATTGAAATAAAAAAAAACGTCGGGCTCTCAAACTGAATCCTTATTTCCATTTCACAATTTCGAAGGAAAAAGACGAGCTCCGATTAAGAAATGTCCACTATTTATACTGATAACGTTTATTAGGTACCGGTTCTCTAATGTTTTTAAACGGTCTAATGCCGGTTGGACCACTAAATTGCGAGCCGTTCGCATTACCGGATCATGTTCCGGTTCGTTTCTGACAACATTGCCTAATACAATCGCAGCTTTTATTAATTAATATGACATGGATGTCCTTCCTAAATTTACTCACAAGGCTGGAAATTCTTAATTAAACACCTTCTCATAAAGTGTTAGGATTAATATCATATCTATTATTGTTTCTGTATTATTGTTTAGATCAAGAATATGCTTCTAGATCGTGACGTCCGTCCGCCGGCCGGCCAGTTGTTCATAGTTTGTTCCTAATCGCCTATGCTAGATCAAAGCGCTGTAAATTCCGCTGCTCCTCTGTCTCGTCAAACCATACATGCCGCTATAAATATAGATTGCTAATGCTACTCAGTATTATCACCCACAACAACACTTGTATTTACACCCCTAATAACAACCGGGAACACAAGAAATTACTAAAGCCATGGAGTTCATGGGACGCAGCTCCAACGCTAGAACAGTGGCAGTGACCATTAATCTTCTTGTTGTTCTCATCTTCTCTTTGGTCCTCGTCACAAGCTCAGGTAACTCCTACTCCTCCTTCTTCGTAAACTACAGCTGTGCTTCGGCGGGGGATCTATAATTTCACTCGTGATTCTATGAGTTGCAGCACGGGCGCCTATGGTCCCGCCGTTCCCTATCTCGGCCAGATTGGTGTGCGACACTGTCTACGGCTTCCAGAGCGGAGACACCTGCTTCGATTTGGCGAAAGCCTCCAACCTAACAGACAAAGGGTTTTTGGACATCAACCCCAACCTCAACTGTGACGACATCTTCGTCGGCCAATGGATCTGCACCTCTGGAAAACTAGCAGCTTAACCATGCTATGTATATCACATATGTGTAGCTATATATCTATCAAAGAAAAAAAAATCATATATGTGAAGCTATATATCAAAGAAAAAAATAAGTACCCGTTGCCGGATTCTGATATACGAATTAAAGGTTGTCTTGTGTATTTTCGAAGTGTATGGATGCCTCTTTGTATTTGATGGTTATGACTTATGTGATGGTCATCGATCGATTTTATAGTATGAATGCTTTTATATCATCGATGTTTATGATTTTATTGTTTGCTATTATATGAATTGTGTTTAGGATTATCTACGTTGTCAAAAAATTACCATCTAGGGATACTCCATTGATGCTATACGAGTATGGGAACTTGATCAACTATCTATATATGCTTTGAGTAGTATTAATGTTTGATTGCTAGATCATCGATACTATAGACTACGGTCATGGTTCGTAGAAGCTCACAATTAACTATATGCTATCCTAACTTTCTTGTTCTTCATTAATTAGGTAATGGCATGAAAGCACGCATTAGCTAGTTAAATCTTTATCGCAAGAGGCGCGCATGCATGGGTACGTAGAGAGTGGCCTTAGAGGAAGGGATATGATGTTACAATAGATGAACTATGAAGCATGATATAAATGAACCCTAGTATGCATGATAGTTTTCTACTTCACTACCTCTTACAATAATGTATATTCTTTTATGCATCTATAAATCGAAAACCTCTAAACAACTTTACTCTTCTTGCTTTGCTTGTATTTTTTTTAAATGAAAAAAATCTAAATGTTTATATGTTTATTTTGTGTATGTCATGATTGTTGGTGTGAGTAGTTGTGCATTAGAAGACTTCGAGAAATATGATGCTAGGGCCTCCTAGGAATTTATCACTTGATATTACACAATGGGAGGAGGAAAAAAATCATCATAAAAGTTGGGCTCACCTATACAACTGCCTTCAGAAGTGTTTTCTTTCCTCCCGATGAGAGAAGCAAAATTTTCCAAGTGATGAAGGAAAATGTCTCCTTTTTAGAACGAATCCCATCAATAGGAACACCCAAATATTGGTCCTGACGAATCGTTGTTGAGAAGCCAAAGTGAGAGGTAATGAGCTCCTTAATTGCTTCAAGTGTATGCTTATTGAAGAAGATGGAAGATTTTTTTAGATTAATTTATTGACCAGTAACGCTTCCATATCTTTAACAATATCCATAATCTGCCATGCTTCACGCATACTTGCTTTCCTAAAGATAACGGTATCATCATCAAAGAGGCAATGGCAAATAATAGGGAAGTTGCGATTCAGCTTGATTTCTTGGATATCTCCTCTTTCAAATCCCCTCTCAATCAATAAAGTAAGCGCATATGACATAAGAATAAACTATAAAGGGGAGAGCGGATCCCCCTAACAAACTCCTCTTGTCTGTGGGAACAACTCAATCGGATTTCCATTAAGCAACACCAAGAAATTCACTGTACGAATGTACTAACTAATCCATCCTCGCCATTTCAAATTAAATCCATATGCCTCAAGGGTTGCTTCCAAACAATCCCAATCAACAACACCATAAGCTTTTTGCATATCCATCTTCAACATCATGTTCCAATTTCCACTTTTGTTTTGATTCTTGAAATGAGTAGTACTTCGTGCACCAATATGATATTATCCTGGATCAAATCACCAGTGAATGCAACTTGCAATTCATATGCTAGTTGGGAAATCCACAGTTTAAGTCTCCTGGTCATGATTTTTTGGATGACCTTATACCTAAATTTGCATATACTAATTGATCTAAATTTATTCATACCTTTATGGGACTTGGACTTTGGGAATGAGTGCAATATGGATGTTGTTCCATCCTTGTGGCATAATCGAGGATGAGAAGAAATTCTGAACCTCCTTAAAAAAATCTCCACCGATTTTGTGGCAAAACTTTCGATAGAAAAGACAAACAAATCCATCTGGAACCAGGGGACCAAGATTAAATACAGCAGTTTTAATCTCCTTGACTATTGAAGGGGCATTCAATGCCTGATGCATTTCTTTTGAAACTCCTACCGAAAAAATCCTTAAGGATAGATGGATCAGGCCTCAGTGATGTATTGGTGAAAATGGTCTTGAAATAATCGAATACATGGCTAGAAATCTCATTTGGTTGGGAGATAGAATTAGATTTATCATGTTCGTCCTTCAAGGAGACAATCGTGTTTCTGTGTTTGTGCTGAATGGTATTCAGCAATCGTGTGAAAGCAATGCATGTTTTGGTCACCCTTTTTTAACCAATTCACCCTAAAACGCTGACTCCAGATAGCTACTCATCCTTGCAAATAACCTTCAGCTCAGTCATCATCTTTTTTTCTCCTAGATAATTATTTTGTCTCGTTCAAGATCCAGAATAACACTTAATCTACTTTTAATTTTTGTTGCACTATGGTTATGATCTTGGAGACTTGGTAAGCCCAAATTCTCACTATTTTTCACAATTCGACGAACCTTTCAGCATAGGAGCCTCCATTATCTCAGTTTTGATTAATGATCTCAGGACACTCTTTCCTGCTTAACCATCTTTCATCGAAACGAAAAGGGAAATTTCTTATGTCTTTCTTACCATGAAACTCTAGCATCATTGGATTATGGTAAGATTTTAAAAGAAGTACATGAAACAAATCTGCTCTCCCGTAGATTAGTTCCGAACACTTCGGAGATACCAAGTTAAATATTTTGTCCTCTTTATCGTTTTACCTAAATTACTCATTTCTGTGTCAATAGCTTCCCAATCTGGCCCAGCTCTTCGATCGTTTCGTCAACACCCGGGTTCAAATCCTCCTTCGCCACCTATATTCCAAGAGTCTCCTCTTCCGTCATGCAGAGGTTGTGGAGCTTTGCTTCTAGTGAGTCCGCCAACCATCAACACTAACTAAAGGGGGAAAGTTAATCTGCTAACTTGAAAATTCGTTAGCAGATACTAACTGATATCCAAAATATATGAAATAATATCTAAATATTAAAATATCTAGAGTGCACAAACTAGTATTCAAAGTTTGCTAACTGATATCCTCCATGAATCAACTATTATCCCAAATTCACATATTAATATCTAGACAACACAGAATAGTATCCAAACAACACATAATTAGTATTCAGATAACACATAAGAGTATCAAGATAACCCATTGATTGTGGATATTAGTTAGTATATGTTATCTGGATACTAGTTTGTGATGTTTTGAATACTAGTCTGTACTATCTGGATACTTAGCAGACTTGTATATTAGTTAGTATATACTAACGAATCTTCAAGTTAGCAAAATAACTAGGCTGTAACTAAAGAGAAAGACCAAAAAACAAAATGTGTGCTTAATGAAAACAAGTCCTTTGGAAGTTGCAGATAGGGGTGGGCATCGGTACGGTTCGGACCGCACCGCACCGCATTTTTATAAACCGCACCGAACCGCATTTATGTAAACCGCACCGCATCTTTGACCGCGAAGTTATCGGTGCGGTCAAACCAAACCGCATAAATTAACGGTTTGGTATGGTTTAGACCGCACCGCATTTTGACCGCAAATGACAGTAAAACGATGTGAAAAACGCGATTTGAATGTACCTCTGCTTCCGACCATCATTCTCCGGTGGCTCAAACTATTCTCCGACGGACCCTGTCGTTCAACACACGCCTCTTCCTGTGGGAAAAAAAAATCGGAAATTGTAAGGTAGCAACAACAAGTTGGCCGGCAGCAGCTGGGATGATCGATGGTGGAACGAATAGCAGCTGATCGCTTGCATTCAACAACGACCTTGCCTTTACCTTTTTCCGCTGCTGAGTCAACAGAATATTATCAGTCTGCTTGGAGGATTACACGCAATATCTCACACTTCAAATACTATAAAAAAATTTATCATTGCATAAACAACAACAAACATTCAGTACAATACTATGTCCCATCATGAGTTGTATAGATTATTTTCCAAACAAACAAACTAAGCCAAATAAACAAGTGGCCGTGTAAAACACTTAGTAAGAACACTTTGGCTTCCTATCATCATAATCAGATAGATCAAAGGTGTTCCAAGACCAGTTCAATATCCATGTCAGTATAGCATGGAATGCCTGAATGAACAGCACCACCAGTTGCTTTAAATAGTTGATAATTATCTTCCAATGATATCATCCTGCTTAGCACACGAGCAAGACCAAAACAGTGCATATGCTCAACAAAGCTCTTCTTTACAAAGATTAATAAAAACTAAGTTAAGCTGATGCAAACAAAGCATATACTTGTCTATGCCATTCAAAAGTTCCAACTATAAACTAAGTTAAGCTGCTTAAATGATGCCAGTAGCTTAAACTTGTGCATTCCTTCTGCAATTCTGCAACAGAGGAGCTTTCTCTGTGGACTGATCAGTGTCCTGCTGCTGGCTGCAGCAATCATCCTCATGAGCTTTCCCCCACATCACAGCGTAGAATCCAATCGAGAGCACCACTGCCCCAATCACACTGCCCAAAAATAATAACAGTACATTTTGGAAAGCCTTTAGAATTGTTCATAACATATGGTTCAGAATCAAAGTTGTACTCAGTTTCCAATTGCTTACCTTCCTACATAAACCGTGTCACCCAAGAATGATCAGGTTCAAATGTTACCTTATATGTTTGCGCTTGCCTCTACATTAGGACTCATACGAGGAGTATGGATACGGGGAAGTGGAACATCAGATATACCAATAGCCTTCATAATCATGCTCAACTCTGAAATTCATAAGAAGACAGTTTAATCACTATATAAAACGTACATGGTACATAAACAATAGCTTTTTTTAGGTTACTCACCTTCATCGATATTGTCAATCTCCTCTGGATCTTCTTCAACTAACACACTAGATTCTGCCTGGAGCCAATCCTGAGTACAAATCAGAGCCTCAACAATCTTAGGAGTCAAAGAGCTCCTGAAATCATTCAGCACCCTACCTCCAGTGCTAAAAGCTGCTTCAGATGAAACCGTAGAAACCGGGACAGCCAATACATCCCTTGCCATCCGAGACAAAGTTGGAAACCTATGGCTGTTTACTTTCCACTAGGGATGGCAATGGGTCGGGTTGGGTCGGGTTTTGCCAAACCCAAACCCAAACCCATGGGTTTATCTTTGAAAAAAACCCGGGGTAAAACCCGCTGGGTTTGAAAAACTCAAACCCAACCCAACCCGTTGGGTACCCGCGGGTTCATGGGTACCCACGGGTTTTGTCGTAAAAAATTTACAATTACAAGTTCTTATCAAAATTAAAGTCAAATATCAATCTCTCAATACAAATTATCCATATATAAAACACCATTCTAGAAAATTCAAGCAAATCACAAATTAACTATACAAATTGTTCAACACCAATCTAGAAAACTCAAAAAAATTGAAGCAAATCACAAATTTTCCATAAATAACATGTTTAATTGAAAGCTTCTTCCTTTCAATTAAGTTTCTTTACTCTCCACTCCATAACATCAACTTCATTCTACACAATTATAAAGAAAAAATTAGACATGTCTCCACAAACATAAATAAGATTAGTTGTTTAGAATATTACATATACCGAAGAAATTAATTATATGGGTGGGCGGGTACCCACGGGCCGGGTTTACCTAAACCCAAACCCAACCCAACCCGTTGAATAGTGAACGGGTTTAAACCCAAACCCGGCCCAAAATCCGTCAACACGGATTTTACCCGCGTTGACCGGGTTGGGTCGGGTGGGTACCCGTGGGTTCGGGTTTTGTTGCCATCCCTACTTTCCACCATCCTAACACATTAAACTTGGCATCCGTTGATTTTTCAACACCCTCCTTCAAATACCTATCCAACTCGGTATTGTTCACTACACCTCTTTCCTTTTGCATTTGTTTCATATACTCGGCAACTAAATCCACATTCCCACCATTATCATCTACTTCTGTTTGAGAGGAGGAATCTTCACCTACTTCCATTTGATTCTCATAATAAGCATATAACTCATAAGTAGCAAGCTCAACGTCTTTTGTCAAATCAGAAATTGCTTTCTCATCATCATACATCCACTTGAGTGTGAAACCAATAAACTGTAACTTTAGCCTTGGATCTAACACAGCAGCAATGTACAAAAGCTTGTTCATCTTATCTACAGCTCCCCAATATTTATCATATTTTTGTTTCATCTTTGTTGCCATGAAGCTTAATTGGTAATCCTTCTTGTCTGGAATTACCCAATTCCTCAACAAATTGTATAAGTTCCCAACTTCAGGAAGGAATAAATTGGAGGTGATATACTGTGAACCTGAAACTTTTAAGGTGAACTGATAAAACTGTTCTAAGAACTTCATCATTCTTCTAGCACTATCCCAATCACAGCTATCAGGTACTCCACTCTTCATTTCAAGTTCATTTTGAAATTGCTTGTCTGACATTCGATAAAGATTAAAAGCATGCTCATGCTTTACAGCAGATTGCAACATCAAAAAGGTTGAATTCCATCTCGTTGGAACGTCAAGACACAACCCACTCTTGCTCGTATTATCAAGAGCAACAAAATTATTAAACTTCTGAATTCTTGCAGGTGAATGCCTAACAAATCTCACCGCCTCTCTGATTCTTTTTACAGCCACAGATATCTTAGATAATCCATCCATCACAACAAGATTCATTATATGAGCCACACACCTAACGTGAAGAAATTTGCCATCACACATGCCAATCTTTCTATCATCAAATATGCTTTTCAATTCTTCTATTGCAGTATCGTTCGAACTAGCGTTGTCAACAGTGATTGTGAAAATCTTATCTATCCCCCATTCATCCAAACAAGACATAACTGCACTTGCAATATCCACCCCCTTATGACTAAAGATTTGGCGAAAACCAATTATCCTTTTCCTTAATATCCAATTTCTATCAATAAAATGAGCTGTCACACACATGAAGTTCAATTGTTTGTTTGAAGTCCATGAATCTGTAGTCAAACAAACTCTACCTTCACAGTTGCTAAAGACATCCTTCAACTTTTGTTTCAAATCAAGATAAAAATCCCAACAATCCCTAGTCACTGTTCTTCTAGAGGGTATAGAAAATCTAGGACAAGCAAGTGACATAAAGTATTTGAAACCCAAGTATTCAACAAATATGAAAGGCAATTCATCCACAACGATCATATAAGTCAATCCTTTCCTTATAGTTGCTTGATCAAACTTCCAACTGCCTAACATAGATTCATCCCCCTCACCTAGTTCAGCTCTAAGAGTATTCAATAGTTTTTGAGCAGTACCTTTTCCATCACCGCACGGTTTACTCATATGATGGCGGAGTGCACTAGTTCCATTGTTACGTGATTTAGATGCATAAGTCTTCCCGCATTTGATGCATGATGACTTGAATAAACCGTCCTTCTTATACCTTCTGAATTGGACCCAAACTTTTGATGTAAGCCTCCTCCCTTTTGGCATTGGTGAATTAATGTGAGTCGAAGCTGAACCAGTATGATCACTAGAAGCCACCTTGCTCGTACTTGCATCCATTTCGACTTCCATCTCTTCCCCACTTGAGGAATCCATTCCAATATCATCACACTCAACCTAAAACAACAAAAGAGCAAATGAGAACAGGAAGATGGCAAATAATCTTATCTATATATATATAGATGAACTCTACACCTGCTTTGAAGAAAGGGATAAATAAGATGGCTGATGGAGGGATTTCAAACGTGTCATCAATCACCCATTAATCCATTTCAAAGATTAGCTGGGGTTAACTACAGTCTATATCCATCACCCACCATTATGTTATAACTAACAACTCTTACAATGCTAGAGGTTTGTTTTCAAAAAGAAGCAATTGAAAGGAGCAGAAGACAGTATAGGAACTAGGACAAAATGCCAGTTAGAGTCTTATTTCAAAACCTAAAAAAGGTTTCCCTTTTGATCAAAGTGATGAAAATTTAATAATCAGTTAGGAACTAAAGGTAACAGAAAGGATTCAGGGAGCTAGAGATCCATCAGCAGTGTGATAACTGCGTACCAAGACAGACAGAAAGAAGAAACAAATGAAAACAGGACAAAAGCAAACCGGGGTGAATTGCATCATTAAATAAGAGGGACAGCTACACTACACATTGGGAGGGCTATTAAACAGCAGCACCCACCATGCTGCAGAATGCAGCCAGCGAATACTAATGCTTAATCATAGAACATAAATTCACTATGGAATAAGGGTACCAGTCAAGCTATCTGTTCCTAATTGTTACTTGACCTCCGAAGTCCGGACTCTACTATAACTGAGGGTAAATTCTTGCTTAACTAATAAACCAAAAGTTATCAGCAAAGAACCACCCATCCATCTTCGTTATCTGCAGAATCAGGCTAAAAAACAATGGCTTAATGTTTAATCTGACCTTGTCATCAATGTCTGTGAAGTTTCTCACGTAGGTAAACAATGTGACTGGAAAGAGTACTACCAAAGGGGAAATTTCATGAAACGGGGTAAGAACTCATTGCTTCAAAGCGGCATTATTATCGAATAAGAATGCATTCATTCATTCATTCTAACAAATGTTGTTGGAGAAAGAGAGAGAGAGAGAGAGAGAGAGAGAGAGAGAGAGAGAGTGCAGCACTATGTCCTTCTCACCTCACTAACACTAAGCACATTGCTGCTGGGTATCGGTGCTCGAGCTCGTTTTTCCTGTGAGCCTTTAGACTTCATCTTTCCAATAACAGTATCTTCTGTTTCCCTATTGCTTGATATCGAATTCACAGATTCATTACAGCCCTACAAGCATATGAAAGAAAACGGTTAGAACATTGTGACAGGTAAAACTATAAACATAATTACATATTATGATCTGAAAGCAAATCCCAACTAACCCTCTCCACGATATTTGTTGATACAGTCCAGAAATTGGGGAAGCAGCTACTACTCCTAAACATATATATGCAGTCCAGAAATTGGGGAAGTAGCTACAGTCCAGAAATTGTTGATACCATCGGAAACCAACTAAACAAGCGCCCTTAAAACTAAAATCCCTAATCCCGGAAGAATATTGGAGCCGAGTTTCTGGGTATCAAGCAGGGATCATCATCATCATCAAGTAGTAAGAGCAACTGAGCAAGATTGCTTTTCCTAAGCTGACGCATCTGTAGTTTAACATGTTCGTGGGAGGATAGGGATGGGTATTCATGATTGAGTCCCATCAGAAGCTGAGTGTTCTCCCCAATCACCACCAACCAATCCGTCGCCGAAGAGATCCGACGGGATAAAGAAGCATGTCTCGCCGTCGCCGGTAAGAAATTTGACGCTCCGGCTGCCTACCTTGCTCGAGCAGGCCTCTCCGTCGCCGTGCTGGAGATTTCGGGTACGGTAAGTCGGTAACAACAACCCTAGATCCACAATATGAAGGATATGAAGAGGGAGGGAGAGGGTACCCAGAACGACGGTGTGAGCTGGATGCGGAGGCCGGCGGAGGTGCGAATCTGGATTTTAGGTCAGGGGAAGCGTCGTCGGCGTCGATCTATGAAGCTCGGGATCTCTAGTCTCTTGGTGTTGTGCAACGTCGAGAGGAACAGAAAAATCGCTAGGTATGGATGAGGAAGAAGAATCGCCGCCGGGTAGAGAGGGAATAGTGCGGATCTGGCGGCCGGCGGGGACTGGATGGGGAAGAAGAATCGCCGCCGGGAGGATAGTGGTTTGCGGTGAGGAAGAAAATCTCTGCAAAGCTATCGTGCGTTGGTGGTGGACGACATTCACTAAGAATTAGCGGTTTGCGGTTTTGAACCGTAACCGTGTGGTTTCGGTCAATCCAAACCACGAACCACTAATAACTAAATGGTTAGTCCGTAAACGAAACCGATAGTTAACGGTACGGTTTGGATTGACCGTTGGAGCGGTTTGGAGCGGTTAGGAGTGGTTTGGTCAAACCAATGCCCACCCCTAGTTGCAGAGACAATGAATTGAGATTGCTTCTCGAACTCCGTTAACAAACTTTATGTGACCTTTACTTTTACAGTACACTATTCCATATATATGTGTGATCTATCTTCCAGGTAAAATACATCAGCCGAAGCAGAGATGCTTTGGTGTTACTCTAGTTCTCTATAGACCTGGCAATAGGGTTGGGTTGGGTAATTTCGGGTTCGGAATCTCGGGTTACGGGTCTTCACGGGTCGGGTCATGATGGGTTTGCTGATTTCGGGTCAAATATTGACCCAACCCATCGGGTTTCAGGTCGGGTTTCAGGTCATTTTGGGTCATGAGCGTTCTCAGAAACAATATCAAACATGTTTCATAAATTTTTAAAGAACACAAATTTTTACGTATGTGCGACAATAGTTTGCCTAGTACATTAACAAATGCTCAACTCCTTCCATGCTAATGAAAAGAAATACAAATTGCACAAATTGTCAAAAAACAATGACGAAAGTAATACTACTACAATAAACAAATGATGTTTGATTATCTTAACAATCCAAACTTGTCTTTCAAATCCTAATAAATTTTTTTAAACATCTCACCAAAGTATAAGTGATTTTATCATTTTGAGAGTGACATATGCAATGAAACGGGTCTAGCGGGTTGACCCACAAATCAATTCAACCCGACCCAAAAACTATGGGTTAATCAGGTTCGGGTCATTCGGGTTTTGGGTTATAAAAACCTCAACCCATTCTCTATTTTTTGGGCGGGTTCGAATCGGGTCAACGGGTCGGGTGCTCATTTGCCACATTGAAGGAAGTGACCGTGGTGGGCTGTACAAGGTTTTTGTATAAACTCCTTAAATTGGGCTTAGAATCCCCCAAACTTAACTTAAGCTCAAAGAGAGTAAGCCTCGGCTAGAAACCAGAAAAAGAAGTTCCAAGCTCTTTCCCTTCCCTGTCGATCTTATCTCCGTCTTCTTCCCAACTCTATTCCAAATTGAAATCCCTAAAATTGCATTTGTACTAGGAATAGGGATGGCAATTTCGACCTGACCGGTTTCCTCGACTTGTTTGGCCTGTTTTGGGGCGGGTAGGCGGGGCGGGCATGGGTAGGGGTGGCTATACGGTCCGGTCCGGTTAAATTGGCCCAAATTGATCCGGTCCAGTCCGGTCTTTTTGAAGATATAAGGACCGAAGATTGGATTGGATACAGTCCGGTCTTGATCCGGTCCGGTTTTGATCCGGTCCGGTCCCAATTTGGTCTTGATTTTACATTGAGATTGTGGGATTTGAGTGGCCTAAGGCCTTAAAGGGTGAGGAGTTGGTTAAGTTTTGTACTAAGTGCAAAGGTTTGTGACCGTTTATGCAAATTACCCTTAAGTTTTGGGTGTTGAGCTCTCTTATCCGGTCTTTATCCGGTTTTTTACCTCAAATCTAAACCCAAAGATTGGATTGGATTGTTTACTATCCGGTCCCGGTCCGGTCTCGGTCCGGGTTATACGGTCCGGTTTCCGGTTTTTAATCCGGTCCCGGTCCAAATAGCCACCCCTAGGCATGGGTATTCTCATTGATCCGACCTGTCCTGACCCGCACTATTCTCAACCTGTTATTGTCTAAATTACATGTAGTCTTAGTCAAATTACTTAGAATTTTTCTTTTATTAGATCATAATTTAGCTATATTGAAGCTGTAAATTAGTGAAAACCTCAATTTCTCTAATAATTTAACTACATTTATCATAATATTGTTTGTTTTCTAGAGAGAGGAGGAACCTCCCATCAGAGTTTGATTAACAAGGTATCACGGTACCTAGTACCTACGTACAATATAGGTTTTTTTTTTTTTAGAAACACAATATAGCCATTAGCCAATGATGGATTGATCATTAATTAACTGGTCTCCACAAGCTAAATTAGAGCATAGTGAGGAACTCCCTTTTAATTATTAAGATTCCATGACAATGGAACACTATGTCGTAAGCTCAGTCCCTTGTTGCTCCGCCGAATGCACAAACGTCGGTTTTGCTTGTTTCATTTGTCTTGAGCCTGACATTTTTAGGTTTATCCCTTCTATGCCACCTTGTTTCTGTCTCAACCAGCCTCATTAGCGCCAAAACCTTTCCACTATATAATGAATGCCCACTGCATATCTCCATTGTACCCAACTAATTAACAAGGAAAAGAAATCGTGGGAATTACATTGTCAGGAGAAAGCAAAAGGAGAGACACCATGGCAATGGGTAACAACAAAACCACCATCGTCGTTGCTCTGCAGCTGCTCCTCGTCTTCACTTTGGTCCTCAGTACTGCTGGTAAGTCAGTTTCTTAGCTTACTTTGTCTGTCATTAATGTAATCTCAAGCGATTCAAGATTGGCTCAACCCCTGCATTGTGGCAGCTTCCATGACGCCAAGCAAAGGGCTGATCCCGCGTCGTGCTGCTCCTCCTGCTGCTGCTGTTCAAGCTAAAGTTTCGTGCGACAAAGTTTATGGAGTAGATGATGGAGACACTTGCTCATCTGTAATTGATAAATTTAAGCTGAATGAAGTCCAGTTCTTTGGCATCAATCCTAATTTCAACTGCCGTGCTCTCTTCGTCGGACAATGGCTCTGCATTTCTGGCACCGCGTGAATTATAATACTCCCACCGATTACTACTGCTTGAAGTGCATGGATTGAGAAGAAGCGAACTGAAAAATCTCTGCCTCGCTTCTTCTCTCCATATCTTCTGTTATCAATGTGTGCGTTGTTTTCCCTTATGTTTCCTCTTTTGGTGTTTGCAACTATGGCCGGGTATGGGAAAGGAAAGTCCTCTGGCTACCACCTTACTCGATCGGCAAGTGTATTTGGATTGGCTTTGCTTTTTGTACCAATAAAATGAATTAAAATGTTCCTCTCCACATCAAAGCTAGTTAATTACAATCTCCAACTTATAGATGGAGGAAAGTTTGGTATGGTCGATACATGGAAAAAAAATGTTTCTTTTTTATAATTTGAAATTGGTTAAAAAATTACTTTGAATCACATATAATACTGTTTTGCGGGTGGAAAATATTCTATTTTTTAAATGGGTTTGAAATTGTTGCCAGTCAAACTTTCAAGTTGTTGATGGCTGAAAGTAATTGTTAGATGGATTTTTCAATAAATCGCAACAATTTTAATTTTTTCTTCATCAGACTAGAGCACTTCAGATTGTCCAAACGAATTTTTCATCTGTTGTAATCGGAGAATAATTAGCAAGCATCCAGGGCCAATTAGTACACATTTGAGGGTCCGTTAGTGACTTGTTAGGCTAACCGCAAGCCCGGGGGCAAAAATTGCGGTGTAAATGATATTATGGGCTAAATTACACATTTGGTCACTCGAATTATACAAATTTTTCATGTTTGCCACCCGAATTAGTTTTCTTTCTTATTCGCCACTGACTTTACGAATTGTTTCACCGTTAGTCACCGACCGTTAGACTCCGTTAAATTTGTCCTATGTGGCAGTCAACTATAAAGTTTGACCGTTAACTAGATGACGTGGAAATTAAAAAAAAATAAAAATTTATTTATTTTTCCACCTCATCATTCCACTTAGATTTATCATATTAATTAAAAATTATTAAATTAAAAAATAAATAATATGATTAATTAATCACCCGCTCCGACATCACCAGATCCTGAGTTCCTGACTCGCCGGCTGCAACACGATGATGACCCTTCCAGCGAGTCGAACATGCTCGAGTAGTAATACAACACCTCCGTGAACCTGTCCAGGAACACCGACGGCGAACGGGAGTCTCCACGAGGCACCTGGCTTTCCCAATTTCTTGACCAACCTCCTCCGGCAGCTGGTCGAGGAAGACGGCGAATGAGGAATGTGCGGGATCGTTAGAACAATCGATTGAGTAGGACGAACGGAAGGAGAAATTTGGCAAGCTGGTGCAATTGTAGAAGAAGGAGAGGTGAAGCGGGTCGGGAGAGATGTGGAAGGGAGTTCGATCGAGGGTGAGGTTGTGGAGAGGGGTTTTGCAGGAATCGCCGCCGCCGCCGCCGGAAGGGAATGAGAGTAAGAGGGAGTGGGTCCGGTAGAAGATGTCTGGTGATGGCGGCAGGTAACAATGACAATAGTGGCGACAAGGATCGATGACGGCAGAGGCACGGCGGCGGCCTGGTGGTGCAGCAACGACGGAGATCGATGAGAGAGGCGCGGTCAGAGTCAACTGCTGCACCTCCAGGCAAAATCCAAGCTCCGATCCGAACACGACCTCTTCAGCAGTAGTGGCGGTTTGAGGAACCAGCAATGAATTGAGCTTGGTTTTTTAGGCGATTAAAAGCGCCGATAATGTGATAGTGATACCTAATTAGACTTCCCAATGGTGGAGCCTCGTACATCTGGGCAGCAAATTAGACTTCCCAATGGTGGAGCCCCCAATCATCACCCCCTCGACCAAGTACTCACAATTTTGAATGATTGGTATTGTCCCAATCCATTGCTGCCGCAAACTCCACCTCCATCTACCACCACAAACAGAGAGAGAAAGACACCACAGCAAGCTAACTTCGCCTCCCATACATACAGTATTGGTTCAACGGAAATTTTATTGATCGATAAAGCGCATTTGGAGGGAGAAGTTGGAGGCGGAACAGAGGATTAAGGTTTTGTTGTGGGAGGCGAAAGAGAGGCGGAAAGGGTCGCCGCTGTTGCAGGTTCTGTGTGGTAAGGTGGTGATGATGTGAATAGTGAAGAGAAGAGCACTCAAAGATTCCATGACAGTCCATTTGGAATGCAGGGGGAGAAGAGAGGATTATGGAAAGGAACTGATGAGATGGGAGAAGATTTTTAGTAATTGGAGCACAAGGAAAGGAATAGATTATGGACCATCTTCTATGACCAGGCCACCACCACACTGCCGCCAATCTCCTCCCAACCCTAGAACTATATGAGAATAAATTAATCATATTATTTATTTTTGTAATTTAATTAATTTTATTAAATAAGTAATATCATAAATCTTAGTGGAATGATGAGGTGGAAAAATAAATAAATTTTTTATTTTTTTTAAATTTCCACGTCATCTAGTTAACGGTCAAACTTTATAGTTGACTGCCACATAGGACAAATTTAACGGAGTCTAACGGTCGGTGACTAACGGTGAAACAATTTGTAAAGCCAGTGGCGAATAAGAAAGAAAACTAATTCGGGTGGCAAACATGAAAGATTTGTATAATTCGAGTGACCAAATGTATAATTTAGCCTAATTTTATGTTTATTTTTGTAATTTAATTAATTTTATTAAATAAGTAATATCATAAATCTTAGTGGAATGATGAGGTGGAAAAATAAATAAATATTTTATTTTTTTTTAAATTTCCACGTCATCTAGTTAACGGTCAAACTTTATAGTTGACTGCCACATAGGACAAATTTAACGGAGTCTAACGGTCGGTGACTAACGGTGAAACAATTTGTAAAGCCAGTGGCGAATAAGAAAGAAAACTAATTCGGGTGGCAAACATGAAAGATTTGTATAATTCGAGTGACCAAATGTATAATTTAGCCTAATTTTAAGTTTCGTATTTAGTCATTTTAACTTATTAATTGTTGAACTTATATTTTTTAATTTAAATTTTATATATTTGTTCATGATAATTCGATACCAACATTTCGATAAAATTTGAGCTACTTCCGATATATTTCTTTTCACTTTAAAATCTTTAGTTAATTACTTCAATTAATAATTAGTTAATTACTTCAATTGATTGATAGTTCACATTTTTTTTGGCCAATTGTTGGCATTGAAGTTCAGTCACACAACTCATCTATTATCTAGATGATTCAGAGAGCAATCACTTCATCTTTTTACATAATCGTCCACTAGCACAGTCAATCATATTGAAACAACTCACACCACTCATCTTGTATCCAAATAATTCTATGATCCATCACTTCATCTTTCTACATAATTAGCCACTAGTGTAGTCAAATATTAGTTCTTGAAACTAGGAATGGAATGGGGCAGGCCCGGGGCAGGTATCTCGATACACATACCCGCCCCGTGGCAGGTCGGGTAATTTATCATGGGTCAGGGCAGGTCGGGTCGGGTCGACGACAGTATCCATGCCCGAGCCACCTCGCCTACAGGGCGGGTCGGGCCCGCCCCAAAACAGTTCAAACAGGTCGGGTAAAACCGGTCAGGTCAAAATTGTCATCCCTACTTGAAATAACTCACACCACTCATATTGGCCCAACAAAATGCAGTGATCCATCACTTCATCTTTAAGCATAATTAGCCACTCGTGTGACAAATACTAGTAATTGAGACAACTTACTACACTCTACCTCGTCTATATAATATAACTTCTTGAAAGAAGAAGAATTCATCTCACTCTTCACTTCTCTTGAATTTCTCTCAACAAGACATCATGTATTCATCTCAATCTTCTTCATCTAATGAGCAAGAGTATGCAGAGCTTGAAATGTTTGACCAGGAACTCCAGTCGGAACTACAACAAATGGAGGATGAGGAATGTGCACCACTACCTTGACAAGTTGGCAGCGGCCAACTGATGCTTCACCAGACGTCATACAGAAGTTGCCCACCAACGCTTGAAGAATGATTACTTTGTTGAAAATGAAAGGATGCCCAAATACGCCGAGCTCACATTTAGAAGGTGTTTTCGTATGTACCCTGGATTATTCCATTGATTTTGGTGGCGTGTTGGAGGTTGACTCAACATTTGCACGAAGGGTTGATGTTGTTGGTAACAAATCCATATCGCCTAAAGTGAAAGTTGTTGCTGCTCTGCGCATGCTAGCTTATGGTTTTACATCTGATTCTCTTAATGAATACATTGGCGAAGACAATTGATATTTTAATTGATTCCAAGGAAACTTTATTTGTCGACCATCAAGAAGGATATGGAAAAGACGTAGAGAGGGCATTCGACATTCTCCAATCTCGTTGGGCTATTGTACGCTACCTTGCTCGTGCTTGGGATCTTCCAACACTGAAGAATATAATGTTAACTTTCATTATATTACATAATATGATAGTTGAGGATGAATAACATGATTATTTTGATGAGAAGTGTGGTCCAATTGATTATGAAGATGACCAGACAAATTTAAATCGAAATAGGCCGACACTACAAGAGTACTTGGCTCGAAATTCAAGCGTTCGTGATAGCGATGAACATAGAAGGCTGAAGAGGGATTTAATTGAGAATCTTTCGACATTCACCGGACGGGAGTAGTGATTTTGTTCAAGAGCGTTTGAAGTGTAAGTTTATTTAATTGAGTTTGAGGTTTGAACTTATTTAAGTGTGTTTGAGGTTTGAGTTTGTTTAAATGTGTTTGAAGATTGCTTTAAGTAATAAAAGTGGATCTTTTGTTTCAAATTTGAAGTCACAAAGCTAGAGTAGTCCAAATGCAAGCTATGAATTCAAATACAAGCTAGGAATTTCAAATAAAACTAGAAATCAAAATACAAGCTTGGAATTCAAATGCAAACTAGAAATCCAAGTGCACATTACAAGTTTAAAGAACGATGGGTATCGTAATGACTACAATAGTCCTCATCACTCCCACCACCAAGATCAGTAGCACTTCCAACACCAAGGACAGCAGCTGGTCCTCCGTCATCATGAGCATCATCATAGCAATGCTTAACAATCTTCATCTTCCTTGGAGTTAACTTGTTTTGGTCAATTTCCAAAATCTGCATATCCTTCGCAAACAAAGCTGCTTCTTGTTCCCTTAAATTTCACTCATTTACCCTTCCTCTAGTGGGGACTTCCTCATCCTCCATTTGCCACTTTTTCCGTTCACGCTCAATTTTGTGACTGTCGTAGATAGCCCTACTCGCATTCCTCTCTTCAAGAAGAGCTCCTCGATCCAATAATGCATCCCTTTGTTGATCACGCTCCCCACATGACTCTTCTATGGATTTTCCCTCATTGTGGGTCCTTTGCTTATCATGTCCTTCAGGTCTACGCAACCCCCCAATTGGAGTATCTTCGAATGTCGGAGATGATTGATGGAGGTCAACAAATGAGCTCAACTCGCTATGCATAGGTGGCATATGTTCCACGTTGAGTGCAAGATCAGGACACCACTTAGGGCATCGTGATAGGATGCTCCAACAATGCTTATCGCTAAAAGTCTTATTTTTCATGTCTGACTTATAAATATCCTTTGTCATGCTCACCTACATATATTACATACAAAATATTGTTTATAATCAAGATTAAGACAAAATAAAATTCATAACTTGGAAAAGCACTTACCACACCATCCAGTTTGGCCACTATTTCTTTGCTCATTGGCCTTCCTCAATGCACCCTGCCATACGCTACATGTCTTCCTATTGTCTTGCATCATGATTGCAACAATATTTGGGAGTGATCAAACCTTGGATTGATAGTTCTATAAGCCCTATTGATCTGATTCCAAAACTTTTCAAATCGTTAATCTCTGCCTATTTCTCCGTCGCATGATACTTTGCACCAAGGTTGACATAAGGCTAAGTCTTCATCCTAGGACCAATTAGCACCTCTTTTGCTCATTGTGAAATTGCAGAAGATGAGAAAACCATTTGGATACTAGATTTTGGAGAAAGTTTAGAGAGTGAGATATGAGAAGGTGTGTGAAATGAGAAGTTGGACGGGGATTTTATAGAATTTTTTCTAGCCGTTTATAGCCCTTATTTCGATGCTCGTGCTTTATATCATTTGCTATTTATTTATTTTTTTTATCCAATTGCAGCCTAACCGTCTAACAAAAAATGGGTGCAAATGAGGCTGAAATCACCACAAATCAAAAAGAAAGAAAAAGGGGGCAGCCCACGGTCGGATGACCACCCTACTACGGAGGTTTTGTGTGGGAAGGAGGTATCTAGGTTGAAACACTGGCCGAATTGTTGGTATGACGTGGAAACAGTGAGCTACTAATTTCTCTCTTGTCCGGTGGCGATTGATATACGTGAAGCCTCTAGTTTAATACCCAAACTCGTTGGCCTACCAGAGGTTAATCTATGTATCTTTGTAAGGAGGCTCTTTGAGAGGGAGGCGGAGAATGATATGGTGATGCGAATAGTATAGATTTTATGGCGGATCAGGAAATCTCTAACTGGGTGGTTTTCAATGGTGTTCAATATAAGGTAGGTGTTCTCATGCGGCAGTTTGAGGCTCAAGTTCAGGATTAGGTTGACAGGTATGGACTGGGAGGCTGAATGGGGGATCGCAGGGGAGAGCTTTGGGTAGTATGGGAGATGACATGCCGCAAGGTGTGAATTGGATATGTTTTTTTGATGGTGCAGTGAGGAATGGTTCACATTCAGTTGTCGCAATGGTCTTGCGAGGGGTGGATGGGGTTGTGTTGAATGCTAGGGGTGTAGGGTTTGCGGTGATTTTTGATCCAATGACGGTGGAGTTGGTGGTGCTAAGGAAAGCTATTCTATAGTGTCGCGCGATGGGTCTCCATAGAGTTTGTTATCAGAGGGACGCGTAAGTTTTCCTTCAGAAATTCAACTCTTCCAGCGTTCGGGATAGTTGGGGAAGGGTAGTGTTGAGGGAGATTCAATAGTTGCAATCGAAAGATGCGGGGGATGTGGTCCAATTTGTAGGCAGGAATAACAATAGCGTGACTCAACACTTTCTTTGTTTCCTGCTTTGATTGGTTGTTTTGATTTTTGCGCTTGACTCCGTTTGGAGTTGTAAACATTGTGATCTATTTCATTCTTTGGTAATGCAAGCTATCTTTTTCGCACAAAAAAAAAAGATTGGGATGTGAAAGTTACCATATTGTTGACACGCCAAAACACAACACCAAACTGCGACCAAGTGTAATCGCAGTCCGGGAATGCAGTAACAGGCAAGTTCTATTATCAACCCGGGGTCTAGATCTACTGCTTACTCCGTGATTATCTATTATCTAGCCAACTAAGTTGAGTGATTGTTGTTTAAAACTAAAAGCAGTAAGAAAGCAGGAAATGGTTCGGTTTTCTAAAGCAGGAAGGAGTCACTCGGGAATGAGTCCCCGTAGCTCCTTAGTTAGGTTCAATTGTAATTACCCTGGGTTGATTTACTGTTGATTAGACTGCGGAAGATCCGACAGTAGCTTGGAATCTCTTAAGCTGACCAAGCCCTCTCAGTCTAACTACCCGGCAGACGACTAGTCTTCACCGGGATAGAAAGCTGAAGCAATGAGCACAGAACTCCACTACTGGAATTGAATTCCAGTACAAAGCAGTAAACTGGCTAACTCTCGTATAACCAATCTCCTACTATCGAATGAAGAGGCTCTAACAACCTAATCAGATTCTATCTATCTCAGGTTGCAGCATAAATCAAGAAAAGCTGATCAGACTTCAATCAATTCAATAAACATGCATCATTCGATTAAAACCAAACAATATAATCATCCCAAGTCATTACAATCAAATCCCTAACACAAGGAACTAGGGTTCTTCATACCCAAGTAAGAGAAGGGTTCTACTCCATAGAGAGAGAGAGAAGAAAACAGTAATCAGAGTAGTCATACTCATAAAGATGAGGAAAATCTGCTCTGGGATGATGATTTCCACTCCTATGACGATCTCCAAGCTCGATTTGATGAAACCCAGCTCCAAGATAGCTTCTAGGATGAGTTCTTCGCACTTTCTCTCTCTAGGGATCTGTTTTTGCTCTGAAAATCCGATTCTTTCACTTGTGGCTCGGAATTGGCTGAAAAACCAAGATTTCCCGACTCACACGGGCAGGCCACACGGCCGTGTGGCTCACCCAGTTGCCCGTGTGAGTCAAAATGCAGCGTATCAATAAGTCGAACTTCAGGCTTCCCACACGGCCAAGGTCACACGGTCGTGTGGGAATTTTGCTCTGTCCGTGTTTGCTCTGGGCGAAAATCACACGGCCACAAATGTGAGTTGCACGGCCGTGTGATGTCTAGGAATGTCCGTGTGGCTTCCTTAGCACCTCGCCACGCGTCCGATCTTCGTCCAATCGACCCCAAACTCGCTCCCAAGCCTCCATTCACGTACTAGGACCTGAAATATCACAAACAAGCACAACCTAGCGTGAAATTAGCCTAAAACACGAGAAACCACATCTCAAATGGTGTAAGAACAGGGGTAAACACATGTGTAATTAACGTCTATCAAACTCCCCCACACTTAACCGTTTGCTTGTCCCCAAGCAAACCAAGTCAGACACAAGGTAAGCTTACATATTTCAAACAACCAACATTGGGGACAAGTCATAAAGGCACAGAACACGTGAATCGTACTGGTTTTCAAACATCAACACATGAACAACTTCAATAGCAACCTGGACAACCACCACAAAGGACATTCGAGTGCAGCAAAATCGAGTAAAGGAAGAGTCTCCCTTCCGTTCACCAACCAACCTAGACTTGACTCAACCACTTACTCAAAACAGTCAACTCATGCATCGAACTCAAGACATCAGAATAGAGACCGAGCAATCTAGTTCCTCACCAGGGTACAAGAGTATATAGAATATGAAAATGAATCACTCACTCTCGACCAGTGGGGTCAGGACAGTTTGATGCGAAAAATGCGCATGCTATTTCTCTCAATCCCTAACATCTCTTCACCATGATGGCAGCCTCTAAATGCTAGAGTTCACATATGGGGTGTCACCACTAACTAATCCGGAGGTCTTAGACACAGGTTCAAATGACTGGCTAGGGTCTTGGACATGGGGAACAAGCCTTTTAGGTGGTGGAAGTATTCATAGTACAAGGTTCCACATTTCCAAACCCACACAATCACAATCAAACAAACCAGTATTTCCTTTCTGCTATTCTTCATTACTCAATATCTCAAGAGCACAAAAGCGAAGGAGGTATAAATGTTAGCATTTCCAAGCCAGACTGCTAAAAAACACTACTTAATGGGCATTATTAAGATTTTTGGTAGTGGCTCTCTTTTGCTTTCATTTTTTTCTTTGTTTTTCTTTCATTTTCTTTTCATTTCTTAAGAGAGCCACCACTCTGCACATATTTCAAACACATGCCCAACTTTTAAGCACTACCTCCAACACTCACATTAAATTTAGCAGAATCAGCAGAGAACATGTAAAAACTACTCTGTGGAACCTTCTAAAAGATGCAAAAGGGTGATTTTTTTCATTTCAGACCAAAAGAAAGGATAACACACGGCTCAAAGGGGCTGACTAGGGGATATGACACATCAAGACAGTCAATTTGGTCGTGGGCTATTCCTATGCCCCCATCATCTTAGCTAGTGACAACGTGAATGCTACACATCATGGAAGAGGGATCTATCGCACAAGAAAGAAACGAGCAGGCTCAAATCTCACATGGTTACCTATATGCTCTATCTCACATTCTGATTCCCTGAACTAGATGCATAAACGACTGTCAAGAACAAGTGATCAATCCAAGTCACAGTTGGTAAGCAAACAGTTGAAAGAACTGAACCCCTACACAATTCTACTGCACGTCTCAGTCCTCATCATAGGTTGTCCTAATCACAATCAAGCTGTCATGCATCAATCCGAAAACCATTCAATTCATCAATCAAAACACAGTGCCAATATGATCAAACAGCAGTACTTGGAGCCCTCAAATCATAAGATTCGGACAGCGGACTAGGCTCCAAGCACTCAAATATAGATTCCAACCGATACAAAGCACCCCCCCACACTTAAGCACGACATTGCCCTCAATGGAGTAGAGGGAGAGATAAGGGGAACGATGTTACAGGATTGAAATACTGCTGGGGGACTGGAGGTGGACCAGTCAGCGAGAAACAAACGGGAAGATGGACAGTTCTGCACAAATCGAACACCAAGAACACACTAGCACACTGTGCGTTAGGGATAAGTGTTAGCCCAGACGGCTACAACATAAACAATCCACAAAAGAAAAACAAAAACAAACGACACTAAGTTCAAGCTCCTCGCACATGGAGCAAACACACAAAAGTCTAAAACGAAAAACACACTGAGATGGACAACGAGTACAGCCTACTTGTCGCCAAGATCATCCAGGTCGATGTCGTCCATGAAGGCGTCATCACCATCAGCACCATCATCACCATCCGCGGGGGGAGGTGGAAGTGGAGAGTCCTCCCAGGGAGTCCTCCAGACGGGCTGCTCGCCCGGTAGCAGCTGGAGTAAATGCTGCTGGACCTCCTGCATGCGCCATGAACGGCGCTTC